AAAAGGGAAAGAAAGGAAAATAGAGAAATAAAAAAAAAAAAAAAAGTAAAAAGAAATGACTGGATTAATGAACGCAAAAATGAATTCATTAATTTTAAAATATCATACGCACAAAACGAGCTTCACAACATAACGAACAAGAGACAAAAAAGAAAATATATTTAAAAAAAAGATGGAAAGATGGATGAATAAATAGTTGAACAAATGCGCACCTGGTCTGAGAGTGCTGTCATCTCCAAATAAATGCAGGCGTCGCCGTCCAAGGCAAAAGTGTTCAATAATGTGAAAGATTTCGGTTGGCTTTTCAAGACTTCCGCCAGGTGGCTGCAAAAAAATGTTTACAAATGTTATCCCAAATAAACGAAACAACATCAGCAAAACAACATCAGCCTGATAAATGATACTTATTCATTTGTCTCACGATTGATTGCAAACTGCTAGTCTTCATCAGGCGATGGTGTAGACTGGATGGTGTGTCTCTAATATACACCTCGTCGTGATTGGAGAACATAAGAACATGAACCAACCATCCAATCACGGCGCGGATAGTCCAACGAGCGGTATATAAGAGACACACGAAACGTCGCGGTCCTCTGCAAATAACCCTCAATCGTGAGACAAATGAATAAGCATCATTAATTAATTTTCCACGATGAATAATATTTTTCAATCTATCAACATCACCCTATATGCATAGTCTTTTCCTCGCGACGACCCCCATTTCCTCTTGCACCGTAGCGCGCTAAACAGGCAGCAACACCAGCACCACTAGCGGTGCTGTAGCAACAACAAAAAGCAGCAGCAGCAGCAGGAACAACTACAGCAACAAAGCAGTTAGTTTTACCCACCTCTTCAGTTATAATGAGATCGATATCCACATTAGCATGAATGAAGTCCCCATCAGTGCTCCTACGCACCGTACCCTTGATACCCATCAGGCAGTGTTCTTTGGTGTGCTGGAAGATGGCATTTGGTTCAAGGTACTTGGTGTTGCCTGGGTTGGTTTTGTTCGTTTTTATCCAGCAGATATCCTCACAGCGTCGATAGCCCCACTTTCTAAGGCACTGACGAGAAAGGTAACGAAAGAAGATTTATTATATGACTTTTGAAGTCGGTTTTGTATGACTTTGGTACGTTATTGATAACATCTTCTGAACCAATCATAGCCAATGAAAATGCTCACACACCGGACGGTCACGGTACGCTTTGTTTTTTATAGTCGTACAACATTCGTTGTCCATTTTTCGTTTGTTCATTCATTCTCCCATTCATTCAATCATTTTCTCATTTTTCATTTCCTTCAATTTACCTCTCTGATCCATTTCCCAGCCTACCTTTCTGCCCTCTGTAAGCCCTTCATGGGATCCACACCACAAGAAAATAAAAGATCGTTGAGCTGCAACCTCCTCAATGTCTAGCTTCATAATCTGATATTATGAATAAATTAACACTTGATTACTAAAGCCTGGTTTTCACTTACGCTGGAATCTCAATTGGAGTCAGAAACAGTTTCATGCATTAAATTGAAAGTGAAAACTGCTCGTCATAAGTGAAAGGACAAGCTAAGAAAAAGGAAACCTTCAGATCCTTCTGATATTGACATGCTTCTGACTCTAATTACGACTCTGTTTTCTGATTTTCACTTAATCATAAGGTGCTTCCAATTGCGACTCTTATTTTGTCACTTATCAAATCTAGCCTCAAAGAACCGAAAACTACTCTACTCTTCTCCACAGGCATTTCTCATTGTGTTTTTTCTTCACTGGACTTTCTGTGGAAGAGGACGAGAGAGGGAGCCTGAGAGAGCTTTCAGTCCCTCTCATCAAAATTTAAATAGAAACAGATAGCCCACCAATAAGGAAACAGAAAAGAGCTGAGAACAGCTAAGGAGAAAGCTCAATTTTCTCCAAAAAGCAAACTAAGATTTTGGATTGTGGTGGATCTAGGAATTACATGATTTCTGATCTCACTTTTTTCCAAAATCTCAAGATATTTAAGGAACCACAACTAGAAACACCTAAATTTGAATGACATTACGCCATCCCTGTACAGTTACATTCATCCCTACCTCCTCCCAACTCCACGGCTTCCAGTTGAAAGATACACCAGCATCTCGTCGCTGATATTCCTCTAGAGGGGGATCAACTAAAATGACATCAAACTTACAGTCCAGATCACCAACATCATAACTCATTAAATCTGCCCTCAGATACCTGAAAACAAAGATTTGGACCGATAAATATATTAAAAAGAAAAACAATTTTTTAAGGGAGGGGGGGGGGGGTGGGGAGGGGAATACTTAGGTGTAGTTTCCACAGGATCATAGTTAATAAAGGGGGTCCCCCTTCAATATTGAATTTTTCAGTTTCTGATAAACAAGGATATCATACTCAAGGGAATTACATGTGATATAAAGTGGGAAATATTAGACTCAAATGGTTATACTTACATTGGAGGAGATGCTCTCTTGGCTATTACTTCATCCTACAAAGAAACAGATCTTCAGTATTAATGTCAATAAGATACAATAAGTCTCTTTACCTTGGGCGTAATGTTTTCCCATTTCATGTGTCATTCCCTAGAGTATCATTTCTTTGTTTAACGGTTGAGCATGAGAAGACACTCAAATAGGACTCCAACAATGATTATCTATGGAATGGGAAAACATTACGGCCAAGCTAAAGAGTGTCTCAAAAATGATATTTATTCAGTTAAGGTGTAGCCTCCTTCGCAGCCTAAGAATGGCTGCGAAGGAGGCTAGTTAAGGTGCTGCCTCCCCCATTTACCTTGAGGCTTATCCCATAATAAGCTACAATACAGGTAGTCCATAACATAAAATATGTATTTTAAATAAAATGCCTATGTCTGTTTCAATTTTTATACCTTTAACCTTATCAACTCTCTGAGTTTGGGGTATTCCTCAAAACGATCAGCAAGGCCTGAAAAAGTGTGTACAACATTAATCAGAGATTTGTAAGCTGGGCTTAAAACAACAGCCAGTCATCAGACAATGTCCAACCAGAATTGGAACTTGTCCTTTCAAATCTTTGCCTTGCTGGTCAATTCAACAGGTAGCATTATTAGGACAGAAACAAAGACTAAAATCAATTTGGCTGGTGATCATGACTGGTGACTGACTGGCGACAGAACTGGCAATTGACTAGCAGCTGACTGGCGGTTGTTTTATAGTAAGTCTTGTGCTTACTATGTACTACAAGAACTACAAAATAATGGTAGTTTATTTAAGTTGAGCAAAGTATAAAACTTACCAACATCTCTAATAAAATTATGAGGCCGTTGTCCCGTATCAACAAAATGCTGACAATAGTCATTGTGGGGGTTAGCACTTTGCGTACCCTGAAAGTATAAACACATATTTATGAAATCTTTTCAGTGAAGCAAGGGAATATGAGTTATGAGGGACATTAAAAAAAAAGTCTGTAATACATGTCTGTACCTTGAGGAAGTGACTTGAATCTTTGTATTCCTCTTCAACCGTTTCATAAGTGTCCTCATCCCCCTAACAATCAAACACAGATTTTTATTTTATTTATTTAAGTCAATATTTATACACTGAGGCACATCTAGTTTAGCAAGGTTAGTTTAAATAGAGTCCTGATATAACAAGGTATATGGTAAGATATATCATTGTGTAGTTCCAGAAATCATTCGTACCTACCCCACAGAGGAATTTGGAATTTCCAAAAAGTAGGGGGGTCAGAGAAAGAACAAAAATTACTGAGTTTGTATGGAAGAAAATTGGAATTTCTGGGGGGTAGGGGGGCGTCTTAAAGAGAATCCTCCATGAGGGGGGTATGGATAATTTTTGGAACTACACATTGGCATTGTATACTACTGCAAGAAGATGTTCAAATTAAGATTTTCTTTCAACCTTTTTTCTTTATGGTGGGAAATATGTATTTCTTATAACAGCCCCAAAATGCACTGCAATGCTAACTCAACCCAGTTTTTTACTCAGTCAACCTTGCAATGGCTAATTCAGATGCTGTTTAACTCACCTCTTCAGTTTTGTCTTCTCTTTCTTCTGATACCAAAACCTGCCAATCAAGGCATCCATTTATCATTATGTCACTAACGTTATTACCATAGCAACCAATGTTCTTTTCTAGTTGGGAATGGGTGGTTAATTCAAGGGAGCATGGCAAATGCGCACACGTGCATGGTTTTGACAAGTTGGGTTTCCTGTGGTGATGACGTAATTTGACACAGGAAGACCGGTTATAGCAGTTGTCCCGCTTTGGTTGGGCTTTGGTATAAATATACACAGGGTTTAACTTATGTGTAGCGCGATATTGGATTGAGCCCGCACTATATTTTTTCAAAAAACTGCATTCGTCATCACCACAGGAAGCCCATTTTTACCACAGGAAACCCAATATATGAAAGCTGCGCACTTACCATGCTCCCTTGGTTAATTGGGGAGACATTGAATTAGCTTGTATATCTACCTTAGCAGGTCCTGCACTTATACCAGGAAGTGTCACTTCTGCTTCAATGGTTTTTCTTTTTGTTACTGGTTCATTTATTTCAGTTTCTGCTGAAGTTTCTTCTTTAGATTCAGGTTTTTTCTCCTCCCGTTCATGTTTGCTACCAAGTAGTTGTCCAATGTTATCTGCATCTGATGCACCTAGCTGTAATATACATTACAATATCATCTTAGAGACCTTGGTTGTTAACTGAATAAGTATTGTAATATTTAAACTATGACCTTCTGAACCAAAAATTGGACATTTGGGATATATAGAGTTGATGTGGTGGTGGCTGATATGGACAATGGTCCATCCCATATGGATCTGTTTCCTATCAATATCTATTACTCTAAACTAATATCCCGATGAATAAGAGGGATAGCACTTATAAATGATATATCAATCCTTTCTATAGCAACGATAAACAACTCCTACTTTAAAACTAATCTTAAAGACTCTTATTCGCTTATGAGTTTAGGGCTGTCAAACACTGGTTATTTGGCGCGCACGTGTAGCGAGGAAAAATTAAAGCTAAAAATACGTACTTGTTGGGCAAGAAGTTGACGTCTAAGCTTAGACCTCTCCCTGATTTCCTTCAGTCTGTCTCCCATTTTATCCAAAAATTCGAAAAAATCAAAGCTAATTCTATTTTTTGCAAAAATTTTTTCTATGATTTGGAAATATCGCGGGCGTTCAAATAGTCAGCGGTATAAAAGCAACAGGCAACCCAATGTATCATATCTTATCCTTTGACAGAGAAATAATATATGGGAAAAAGAAAAGGCATAAAAAAAGCAAAATTAAGAAAGTTTTAGGCTGAAATTGATGGTAGGAAAGTTGAAAATGAGTTTTATGTTTTAGTGAAGAGAAATGAAAGGAAGAAAAGTGGTTGGGTTTCCTGTGCACTACCTGACCAAGCCTCATTGCCGAGTGACCTGGTGTCATTAGGTATGGCTGCACTTGTTATGTAAAAAAATTACTGAAAATATCGCGGGGAAAAATGCCTTTTTTTCAACGAAAAATCCTCCCAAATATCTTCAAGTTCTAAATATAAGTAGCAGAAAGGATGAACTTAAGTTCTGCAGAGGAAAGAAAGAGGAAGAGGGTCAAACAGTGCAGCATTGAGGAGAGTTTCAAGCGGCACAGAATTCAAGATAACTACGACCTTGGACGAGGTCAGTATTTAAGATGATGTTTTTAATCTGGCAATAAATAGTTCCATTTATTGCTGGGTGGATGCGATGGCTTTGTAATATACAGATTAACCTCTGTACTTGTTGACATTTTGGATGGTTGCTGCAAGATAAAACGGGAGCGCTTCAAAATGGATGGCTATCACTAGACAACGAGAAACTATCTAACTTAGTGATTAATGATTTAGATTGTCATTAATAATTAATCTTTTTTTGATAATGGGCCAACATATCGGTGATTTTAATCTCAGACTTTCATCGTTGCTTTGAATAAGATCTGTGATTACCGTCTGAGCACAACGTTTAATGCTTTTTAAAGGCTCCAAAACCATCTCGAAGGTGTATGGTTTTGAAGGTGATTTCCCAAGGTCACTAACGATGTTGTTACAGATGAGACAAGTGAAAATATTTTAAGATGAGTAAACTTATTCAATTTTAGCCAAGTCAACTTCAAGGTTTTCTCCAGAAATGGCATCTGAGGTTCCTAAATCAGAGGACATAGACAGCGAGGCGGCTTTAAGACGAAATGTTCTTGCACAAGCAGCAGAAAAAAGGTACAATTAATATGAACTTAACACGTAAACACAAACGTGATAATGAAGTTTTCGTTGGATATTTGATGTAATGACTGATAAGTCAAAGCCAAGGGGGTCTTCAAAATTGATTTTTTCAGAATTGTCTGACAAGTATCTTAATGAAAATCTACTTAGTTACATTGTTTATGTTTTCAATATTTTCGTATTTCAATAATGATTTTACTGCAAAAATGTATATCAGTATTAATAATCAGAATTAGAACATCAAGCATCATTTCAGTAAGCTGCTGAAACTACATAGATTATTTTATTTATTCATGCATGTTGACGTTTTCCAAATTTTTCAATATCTAAATATGTCCATAGGTATTGTGAAATAGATTTTTTTTGGCTTCATGCATTTTTGCCATTTCTTATAAATACATGAAGTTGTGCTCCAAATTCTGTCTACTTTACTTTTTTCTCCTTGTTCTTCAAATCGTTATGAGAAATTGATATTATTGTGTCATGAAAAATCATGTTACAGTAAATGTCTGTCTAAAATTTATGACATCAGCTGGTTAGACTATTGTATGTAAGGTCCCTCTTGTCCAATCTGTTGCAGAGTGTAAATATTTCATATGACTATGAACTGGCACAGTCATTGATGACAGCATGCGAGCGAGATCATGAAACCAACCATTTTCATCCAATGAAAATGCTCAGAATTGCTATCTTGTCGTAATCATGGATGGTACATGTTTTCATAGTTATACAAAATTTGCTCTATTGCACACCACACTTCAATAGCTACCAAGCTTGAAGTTTGAAATCTATAATCAGAGACAATCTTTTCTAATACCAATTCTTTTTGTTTTTATGACTAGGCTTTTACAAAGCTTTTCATCTGTCACAAGCCCTGTTCCTGTCTCGGAAGGATCTGGTTCCGATGTGGCTGTTGAAGCAGGTGGAAGCAGAGATGCTTTAAGTGAAAGTGAAGGAGATGTTGCTACAATTGAGTTTGATAGCTTCCCAGAGTAAGTTAAGTTTATGTTGATTTGTGCATATTACCAATGTTGGGTTTCCTGTGTTTTACATACCACAGGTAGCCCAACAAAATGGGTCTTTGAGTTTTATTTATTTTTAAACAATAAAACACAGTCAACTTCTTAAACATATAAAATCAATAGGTCACCACCATTGCCAGAAGAATATGAATGCTGCTCTAATGAATCAGAATCAAAAATTGTATCAGGGGTGAGTTATCCTGATCGGTAAACAAGTCGATTTGAATGTTTCCACATTTTTGATCTATATGGTTCTTCTTTATTACAGGGTGTTCCATTGTGTATGCTGAACAGGACCCCAGGCTGTTGTGCACCAATGCCACCATTAATGCCACAACCAGATCATACAGTTTTAATAAGGGTATGTACTAAATCCTGGTCCAATAATGAGACAAAATACTATGCACCCTCTTCCGGTGGCCAAAACAATAAAAAATATCAACGTTTGAAAAATATTTCAATCCTCAAGAGAAGAGATTTCATTGCTTTGACCGCAGATTGGGAATTAGGCTAGGGCAAGGTTCTCCTGAACCAGGGCCTCTTGACTAACTGATCAACATGAGATTGATTTGGAATTTAGTAAAAGAAAAAGGTGAAAGATGGTGTGCAATTGCAGCATATCCTAACATTTTAAAATCCTGATATTTTTTTCTTATCTGCCTCTACGTGATCAAGAGTTCATAATATTATTATGACCTCTTGTTTCAAACTACTGAAGTTTTTTTCCCTATTTTATTTTATTAAATTTCTAGTTGTTTAACTCTGAAAACTACTATACTATATGATTCCCTCCATCTTACACATATGTAAATATTACTCACTTTCATTTTAAGGGTGTAAGAGCTTGTTTAACCTCTGAGGCTGTCCTCTCGCACCCCCCACAATATTTATAACTTATTCAATTTATCTAGATGTATATGTTTTGTGGAAATAAGATCTGTTGTTACTGTTGTACTGACCTAACCTTTATATTTTTGTCTCTGTAGGTCTCTAAGAATGGAGATATAGCACAACCACCGAAGCCATCCTATAGCACATATAGGTAATAATCAACATCCTAAACCCAGTTGTCATCTATTTGTCCTCTTTGTTTAACATTTTTGTGTTTGGTTGTCTTAGAGATAAATGGGATAAGGATCATGTCAGAATGCCTTGCTCGATAGAGAACCTTTATCCTATCCAGAACTCAAGTAAGAAAGTCCAGAATCGATGGGAACTGATAGAATCAACTCTTCTCAGTCCAATCAAAAGCTCATATGATTTACAGGTAACTATATAAATCATTAAAGGTACCTAGAAAATTTTCACGTGGAAATTAAAATCTCTTGCAAAAGCATTGGTTTGTATATTGCATATTGTTCCTGGTCCTAAACAATGTTGCTCTGACACCCCCTATGTACCAGAACAAATTCCTGGAAATTAACATGGTTTGCACAAGCCTTGAAAAGTCCTTGAATTTGCAGCTTGTCCTTGAAAAGTACTTTGATTTTAAGATATGTGGTTTTATTCTTGAAAAGTCCTTGAATTTCTATGAAATGGCCTTGAAAAATTGCAGATATCCTTGCGTTTGTTATTGGCATATTATTAATCACTGTATAGATGTCCTATGCTGTGCTGTGTTACATATTTATTCTACTATGCTGTGCTGTGATGTGATAAATGGATAGATGCCCAAACATTTTTATTGAACAAGCAGTAATATATAATATCACATGTTCAGATGCTCAATTTTCTCATTTTTTCTGTATAGGATGCCATCCTCAAATACAATGCAAGATACTCATCACGGTGGAACTTTGAAGCCTTGCATAGCTATTTTAATGAGGTTAGTACATTTGTAGACTGAATGTATAAAAAAAAACAAATGGGATTCCTGTGCCTCTGCCAACCACAGGTTTCCCATCACATGATCACAATTTTGAAAAGTTTACTTCATTTTTGATATGTGTTTGGTGTAAAACTAAAGGTACTTGATGGGAATGAGAGAAATGAATTTTTCAACCAAACTCTACCAGCAATGGTTCGCCTTACTCTACAGCTACCTGAAGTGTGCACGCAGGTATGTTTAATGTATGAAAGCTCGACAATTTATTGGCAAAAATGGCTGCTCAATAGTGGGCAGGCTCAATAGGAGATGGAGATGGAGATGGGAGAAGGGGGGCAAGGAAGGACCTACACTAGTAGAAACATTTTAATATGGATAGACAGAACATTGAATAAATGAATGAATTGAATCCTTTGAATACTGAATATTTGAATATTTAAATTTCTTGTCTATAGGCTATACCACTAATGAAACAAGGCAAGAATCACAGTATAACAACGAGCCAACATCAGGTAAGAATATGATCAATGTAAGGGAAATGGACTAATAACTGGGGGCTTATATGCTGGAGGGATATTTGCATTGGCAGAATAGTAGGCTTATAATGTGTGTGTGGGGGGGATTTTTGCTGTATATTCTGCTAACAGAAAGTAAGCTGTCATAATCATAGCAAGCAGCCATTGCGTACAGTAATTGTTGTTGTTGTTGTTGTTTCAATGCAGGCTGCTTCTTTACTCGCGAATGCCTTCTTTTGTACATTTCCAAGAAGAAACTCCCACAAGCATTCAGAATACTCTTCATTTCCTGATATCAATTTCAACAGGTAAGATCTACGTATCTGTTCATGTGGTTGGATGTCATACATGTATTCCCCTATTTATATGTATGATGAACTTATATTATTTTACTGTACTACCATCACTCCCTGTAAAGGGCTCTTTCTTGATGTTTACTCCACATCCTCTACCACTCCATTCACTATTTACAACACTCAACTCACATGTAGATTTTTATGGAGGGAGGAAAACCAGAGAACCCAGAGAAAAACCTTCGTGCCAAGGGAGAAAACGACTTATATCAAACAAACTCATTTCACATATGCAGTTCAGTCGAGACTCAAATCTGTGAGCCCAGGTGTGAACTACATGTACATGGCAGTGAGACAAAGGATTGTTGCACAGTGCATACCACCCCTCTTTACAGACCACACGACAGTTTTTTAATAATTTGGTTTAACATATGTAAAGGCTATTCCAAGGTGGTAAAGGTGGAACAAGTACAGTCAAATCAGAAAAGTTAAAAGCAGTTCTACATTACTTCAAGTCTGTGACACAGTCAAGTAAGTCTCTATTGCACAAGAAATGAGTATTAAGAGAGTGAAAAAAAAAATGGTGATAAAGCTATGCAAATTCTGAGAAATAAGAAGAGTGAAGAAAGAAGGAAAATGATTTGAAGAGTGAAGACTGAAGGAAGGAAGGAAGAAAGAAATGAGGCATGAATAAATGAATGAAATGAGGTAAGAGGGAATAAATGGATGGATGAATAGATGAATGAGAATGGATAAATGAATTAGTAATGCAATAAATGAGCGAGTGAAAGATAAAGAAAGGAAGGATAGAGGGGAGGAAGGAAGGGAATGGGAAATGTAAGAAACAATTCTGTTGCATGAAGGAATAGTCTCACCCTTTTATGTGTGTTTTCTGTAAACATATTTTTTCTCCTATTTTTCCAAAGTGCCTACTGGAGCCATAACATTTCAAAGGCAAGCAATCCCAATAGATGCTTTTCCAAGATGGGATAAATGCACATCTACATTTACTAGACTACATGTATCAACGAGTGGAACTATTGAAGATGATGGAACAGGCTTTTTACAGGTTGATTTTGCAAATAAATACATTGGTGGTGGAGTCATTGGTGAGGTAAAGACATTACAATATCCAGGTTCTGTGTTAAAATTTTCAAGTCTAGAATCAAATAAGATTAACAAAGTCTTTCTATTGAACTTTTTTTTAAGATAAGATTTAATGTGTTTTGGATGAAAATTTAAATGTATGGCTTACTTCCAGGGCTGTGTACAAGAAGAAATTCGGTTCCTCATTTGCCCAGAAATGATTTTATCTCGACTGATCTGTGAGAAGATAGATAGTAATGAGTCAGTTATTATAACAGGTATGATAATATAGTACTTGAATATGCATTGTTTTTGCGGTAGTGATAACACTATTAGGACCTCCAAAATGTTCTTGAGGTTTGTCCCTGGGGGGGGGGGGAGCACTCTTGCCCGTTTAGGCTAGGGATGTGCCGCTGAGCCCATTGAACCCTGACCCTGCTCCAGAGTAACATTGCTGAAATTCATACCCTGTTCTAGAGTAAAATCGCTGAAAACCATACCCTGTTTGGCGGCACGTTCCTGTATAGCAAATATAGGGGAGTACCCCCCCCCCCATGGGTTTGTTCATTTTCCTCTCTCCTCTAAAATAATCAACAGTTATAAATTTTAATTGAATTCAATTGAAATCCACCATTGGTTATCTCCCCTTTCTTCAGGTAATCAACTACATTTATTGTAATGAACATTGAGTTGATATCAATAATAGAATAATAATGATTTCTTATATTTAGGTGCTCAGAGATTTAGTAATTACACTGGTTATGCACACACTTTCAAGTGGGCAGGTAACCACAATGATCAGATGCCAAGGTAATTAATTGCTAATACAATTACATTGCTTGCTTGCTTGCTTGCTTGCTTGCTTGCTTGCTTGCACCCAGTCTGAGGTCCATGCAGAATGCATGCCATTATCATAATAAAGAAAAGCAGTTTTCCCTGGCACACCTAACACAGGGCTCTATCTACCATTGTAAGACCAGCCCATAGGAGGATCGAGGGTAAAGGGGTATAGGGTGTGCATCCCCTCCCCCACCCCTAGATGAACTGACAATTGAACATCCTGATCATAATGGGTGCACCCCCTCCTAAAAAAACCTATTGACATCATTTCACCTTCCAAGTCCCCTTCCCATAGTAAGTCACTGAATATTGATGAAACATTTATTTCCAAGGGATTCCTGGGGTCGTCGGCACTCTCAAGTGGTTGCCATAGATGCCCAAGTGTTTCATAGCTACACCGATCAGTTCAGAACGGGATTCCTGAAAAGAGAACTTGACAAGGTACACGTAAGATAAATAATTAATTATGATAAATAATGGGAATTTTACAGTGGTTCCACGGAGTGACTCATCTTCCTCAGCTCCAATTGAAATTTAGGAGTTTATTTTTGTGGAGGAAGCAAAATTTGAGAACCAGGCTGAAAAAAACCCTCAAAGCACAGGAGAGAACAAACACTGGCAACTTCTTATATTACACAAAGTTTGAGATTCAAACCTGGGTAGGCTAGCATTTTCACCTCTCTGTCTCTGATGCCTCATCACAAAAAGTCATAATTACTAGGTATGGATTTGACAGTAACTAACTTTTTAAAATGTGATTAACAGGCCTTCGGTGGATTTTTCTCAACCGAGGATAGCAAGTATTTACCAGCCATCGCTACAGGTATAATTTCAATTAATTTAGAAATATAAACCGTTGTGGTTGTGGATCCCTATTAACTATATTGACTTAATTTGTTTTCTTTTTTCTAATTAGGGAACTGGGGCTGTGGTGCTTTTGGAGGTGATTCGAGACTCAAAGGTATTTTAATGATAAAAACTCAGTGAATACTGGAAAATACGTACTGTTTCAAGAATAACGTACTGTGTATCTCACTAGTGTCCGAGTTATGGCTAAATCACTGATTATCAGGATGGGTTTACATTAAGGGCTGGAGATCAAAGACTGCTTCAGCAACTGAGCAAAATTCTCCAGCCTAAACTACCACAATCTTTTTTTATTATTTCAAATCTTAATAAAAACCCTGGATCATATTCTTAATAAAACGTGTTATTATTTCTTTGTTTAAGCAATTATTCAAATGATGTCCGCTGCTGCTGCACAGAGAGACATTGTGTACTTTACATTTGGTGACTCAGTAAGTATTGGGTACGACAGCCAGTTGTAAACATGCCCAAGAGGACAATCATGACAGATGATTATGATGATGATGTGGTGATAATTAATTTTGTAATAATCCCCATGGTTTTACAAAATCAGCATTTAGCGAGAATGACAAGAAAATGACACATGGTTTGAAATGGAGAAGCATTTAAAAATCCAAATTGAAGAGGTCTGTTGCATGTTACCAACAAAAGTCAGTGGCTCCTATTCACTGATTAAATTGAAATGATGGTAGACGATGGTGGTGATGGTGATGATGATGGTGATGATGTTAGTGATGATGATGATGATAGTGATGATGGTGATAATGTTGATGGTGGTGATGATGATGGTGGTGATAATGATGATGGTGATGATGGTGATGATGATGATAATGATATTGATGATGATGATGATAGTGATGATGATGATGGTGATAATGACGGTGATGATTGCAATAATCTCTTACTTACCCTATCAGCACATGACCCTGACAGAAATGACCACACCTCTTTCTGTTTTTCATCTTTTTCATTCCTTTTTTTCCTCAAGGAACTTGCTGAGGATCTTTTAAATATCCAGTCTTTCATCAAAGAAAAGGGAATTACTATAGGTATTTTGTCGGAAAAAATATAACTTTGTTTTTCGAAAGCTTGATATTCACCACTTTCCATTCATTGGTTGGCTGGTAAGACACAAAGCACACATTAGAGGAAGGAATCAAACCTGGGTTGCTTTGTTGAGAGGCGACACTCTTACCTCTACACAGCCTGTGCTTCCCTTCTCTTAACTATTCGTTAAGAGGGATTTTGTGTTTACTTTACTGTTGGTATTTGTGAATATTTAGATACTGAAATGAGTCCAACCCTGTATAAACGAGTCTGTGATCAATCAAAACAGTGGTGTTCAACTAACTCAAAAATGGTCTATGTAATATATACGGTATGAGTGGCCGTGTTGTATCCGATATACAAACTTCAGGCGTAGCCGAGAGTTTGTATATCGGATACAACACGGACACGAATACTGTAGATTGCTTATCAAACGTCTAGGTTAGTTCCTTTGTGTATCACTAAAATTTTCAAAATTAAAGTGAATCTGCCCAAGAAAATCCAAGTTAAAGTTTATGCAAATCAGGACGATTTTGTATCAGATATACAACCTCCTTTCACGGTCGTGATTTCTATTGTGTTTTCCTCATGAATTATTAATGAGTTTGATAATTAGGAATTAAAAAATATCATTGTTTTACTTCTATTTTATTTAACTAATGATTTGCCTTAAATCTTTTTCATAGGTGACATGTGGATGATTCTCTGCAAATATGGCAAAGAAATAAATGCAGCATCTTCAGTCAAAATTAAACTGTATGACTACATATACCGGTTATATCAATGCTATGAGAGTGATACAGACCCTGAGTCTGAAGAACCTATACCTCTATCAACTAGTTCCTCAGATGTTTCTAACAATAACCCCATTGAGGGAAGTGAATGCAATGATCCTACTATGTGAAGATATGAATGATGTTGAATGACTCACATTTTGAAGATAATTTAACCATGATGGGGAGGATGGTGGTAGCCATCGGCACAGATTAAGACTATGGTAATAATTGATGATGGTGGAGATAATGGCTCACATGATGTAGTCATTCTTCTGCCTGTTGCTGTTGACAAGACATTGACATGTCATTTCTGACACTATGATGATGATGGTGATGATGATAATGGTGTAACCAACAACTATACTGCTTCCAGCACCACTCCTGTTGATGTTGCTGATGTTGTCAATAATGATGATGACAATAATGATGGTGGCAATGACGATGAGGTTAATGGTGCTTCTTTCACTACTGCTGCTGCTGCTGCTGATGATGATGATGGCAATGAAGATGGTGATGATCATGAAATGAATATGAAGACACTGAATAATAGTGATGACATATGCCTGCTCCTAGCATCATGATAGTCTTTCCTCTACCACCAAATCAAGATACATGCAACCTTCCTATTGTAACTGTCATATTGCGATAATAGCATGGTATTGGTTGGTTATTGGAATGATTCTACTGAGAGCTGCACACTGAAATTTGGTTTTTCACTGTAATTCAAAAGTAATCAGTCAGTACCTTTCATATTTTTGACTGGCGGCATCGAAAAACCAAATTTTAGTGTGCAGCTTTTATGAAAATAGCAGTAATGCCAGTGATGCTCAAACTATGAAGTTTCTTCTAGTGACAAACAACATACTGGCAATTGAAACACTTGACCATTGAAACATTGAACAACTCACAAAAAATATTTAACAACCCTTGTATAAAGGGAGACAAAGGTTTTGTAATTATTTTGCAAGATGACTTGGTTTATAAATATTAAAGGTTCTAAAATGTGAAATGAGTACAGTCTTTGGTTCTCTAAACTTTGCTTTTGCTTTCTCTTTTGTCCTTCGGCACGAGTTTGTTGACCCCAATAGTTTAAGGGGTCCAGAATCCCATTCCCCCTGTCCCCTTTTTCACAGCCCCCTACCCACCCTCATAGCCTTCCACCCATCTTCACCAGCGATGGATCCAGAAAGCTGAGTAGTGCCAGGAGGGGTGGAAAAATTCAGTGTTAAATGAATCTCACTGCTTACCATGAAAAAAAAAAACTGGAATATGTTCCCCCACCCCCTGAAATGCTTTTTCCTTCTTTCTGGGGTTATTTTGGACCAAGAAAGACGAAAAAGTATCACAAGATAAACTGGCTGGCAGTTCCATCGGCATCCCAAAATCCACCGTCGCTGCCCTATCACTTCAACTCACGTGTTACTCATTTAAACCAAACCAAACATCAATTTAATAATAATACTGATAATAATAATAATAGTAATAATAATAATAATAGTGATAATAATAATATAGGTTTAATGATGACACATCTACAGAGTAGCTCTACAATCATCGTGCTAAAGTTAAACATAGAATGATAAATCAATTAATCATATCCTTTTTGTAATCACTACCAAATCCTGCAATCTGATTGGTCCAAAGGAGTGCGATTAATTCCCAAATCGCATCCTTAGGAGCTCTTAATCGCACCCTAAAAAAAATTTTTTTTCAAACAATAAAATAAAACAAAATAAAACAAAAAAAATCAAAAATCAAAAAAAACTTTTTTTGAGGTTTTTTTTTTTGTTCGCATTTAGTTCTTCTACTACATTAAATTGATTATTCTGCACTCTTTATTGTGTCTTTTTCTTGTGTATGATTACAAAAAGGATATGATTAAGTGGTAATTGAACTTCGTGTCGTGCAATTTTGGTCTGAAATCAAACTTGCGGTCATGCGATTTTGTAATCGCGCGTTTGATTTCAGGCCAAATTGCACTCCACTCAGTTCAATTACCATCATTAATTGCTAAAGCTATATGTAATATATACAGTATGAGTGGCCGTGTTGTATCCGATATACAAACTCTCGGCTACGCCTCGAGTTTGTATATTGGATACAACACGGCCACTCATACTGTAGATTACTTATCAAACGTCTAGTTTAGTTCCTTTGTGTTTCGCTAAAATTTTCAAGATAAAAGTGAATCTGGCCAAGAAAATCCATCTTAAAGTTTATGCAAATGAACAGGATTCTGTATCTGATCTACAGAACTCTTCAAGGGCGGATCCAGGGGGAGGGTCGGGGGGTCGCGACCCCCCGTCATTCCTGAGGTCAAATGAGCTTCTTGTGGTAAAAATGCGACTGGGATTCCTTTGCCCACAAAATTTACCCCTGAGACCCCCCTTCAAAAAAACCCTGGATCCGCCCTTGCTCTTTACGGTCGTGATTTCTGTTGTGTTTTCCTCATGCATTATTAATGAGTTTAATAAATATAAATAAGAAGAAAAAATATATATGTAAAAAATTAATGTATATGGAATTAAACAGCCTATAGACTGGGCTCCCCGTGGAGCCTGAATTGTAGGTTAAGAACAGCTGAGACAAAACAAGTAATGCAAGTCAATTTTATCAAACCATAGTTAACTGAGTGGAATGATTCCGCTCCATTAACTATGATCAAACTCAGGACATGGCATGGACGGATAGTGATCATTTGAATGAATGAATGAATCTGAGGTCGGCCATAGTACACCTTTTGCTGTTCATTAACCGCAAAGGAATATTCATTGAAGCGAAGAAGCATCAGGTCATTAGAGCGAACAGGCATACAATAAGGCGCGATGGAACGTTCATTAAGAAATTTAGCATTGAATTTGACAATCAGGAATATTTTTGCGTGGGTTCATTAACGATTTCAAACTTTCATTAGAAAGTTCGCCTTATTGTAGTTCGCCTTATTGTATGCCTGTTCGCTCTAATGACAATGCTTCTTCGCTTC